AGTTGTGACTTGAGACTTGACGACATTGGATCCAGACTCGACATTGGGATTCAGACATTTTGACGAGGGACTATTTGGGCCTGTGCCGAAGACTTGGTGTTGACGACATTCCCATCTTCCCCTCTTCTTTGTCTAACCCCCCTCTTCTTCGTCTGTGTATGGTTGGGGCTGGCGCATTCTTCCTGTGTGAGCGCCAGACCCCTTCACACCATGGAATGATGATGATGATGTATGTTCGGGGCTGCATTGCAATATTGAGTGTTCGGATCATTGGTATCTAAGACTTCCGCTATCTTGTACTTTGTATTGAGAGGTCGGTTCTTGTTCTGGTCTGCACCGTTACAATATGCAACATTATAGTTGTATTTGACGCATCTTTCAGTCTAGATACAGCTAGAACGACCGTACGTTATATTCGGGGGAAGAAGGTAGGACTTCCGGGAAAGTTATCCCGGCTGCATAATACAGACTGATATTATGCAGAATTGCGGAATCCGGTTCGCAGCTGAAAAAATACATAAACATGCAGGATGGCTGACATATACTTGCAAGTTGCAACGGATATGCAGACTACGCTGTAAAAAAATACATAGGCATACAGGACGTAGCTGTGCTAGGTCGGGGAAGGTGCTTAGGGGTCGGGCGCTCATAAGTTAGACTTCGGTCAGATGGCCACTGGACATTGCCTAGGGTAGCTTGAACCTGGGAACTTTAGGCACTGGCCCCTGTCAAGATGGACACTCCAGGGATCTCCTCGCGTGGCTGGTAGTAACAGATTCACATCTAGCTTCCGAGGTACCCCCGTAAGATGAGGCTCGTGCAACAGTGCCTCAAACATGGCTGGAAGGGGTTCTCATTCAGCCCTGGTGCCCACGTCCGCCGCCCGGTCAGGTTGCTCCGTAGAGAGTGATAGTCCTTGAGTGAGGCGGGATAGAGGGAGGAGGGGGTGCGCCACGAAACATCGAGAGAGGCGGAAGGGAGGGGTGAGCCCGAGAGTAAAACAGAAGAAGAAGAAGAAGAAGAAGAAGAAGAAGAAGAAGAAGAAGAAGAAGAAGAAGAAGAAGAAGAAGAAGAAGAAGAAATCAGGGCAATGACGAACAGGTCAAAACCAGTTCTCTGGAGGACCTACAGCACCAAGCAATGCTTTTAACTTCAGATCAAACACCATCAGGAGGTCACCACAACCGCCGAATGCCAAGTGGAAAAGCAAGCCCTTCCACCTACTTTATAGTTCCAAAAACTGCGTCGTTATATATCTCTATCCCCCATCCCTTCCCCTATCCCTTTCTACCTCCCTCTCATCCTCACTCCCTTCATGACAGCCATAATCCCCAAACATCTGATCAAGTAGTGTTCTTCTTGTCTTCCTGCTCCGACGAGACATAGTGTACAAGCAGAGGAGTACGCGCTCCAACATAGAAAGATAGCTGGCGTATCCATGCGGGTATGACGTGAGCGCAAAAAGGGTCGAGTAGTCCCACCTACTACCAAGTTATACCTATGGTGTCTGCAGCAACCACACCCGTGCTCAAGCCTCCAACGAGGGAACATACAGAAGCTGCAGTCACCAGCAGGTGGGCGATACCGGCCAGGGGTTAGCCGGTAGCATCAGGACCGAGCTTCTTCGATGGGTGAATCTTTGAGCCTCCACTCCGGTTCCCTTCCCCTAGGAACATAGGCAGTCTTTGCTCAATGCCACTCGGGGGGGACCACCGGCACATCTCGAGGTAGCGGGCGCCAAACTTGCCCAGGAAGGTACACGAGGCCAATGGGGATTGAGCCCACAACCTCCTGAATGCCATTTGGGTGCCTTACCAACTGAGCTAGGCCGCTCCATCACAGTTTATTTTGGGGGATGACAAAGATTGTCAAACACAGCTGCCCGGTGAACTGTAGGTAGAGAGGGAGAAGAAGGCAACAAACGAGGGGCTGTGACAAACTGTTTCGTTGGAGTTCCATCGACTCATCAGGAGGCTGAACCCTCAACAGTCTGCAGAATCCCCTGACTGATTACGCTGTGACCCCCTTTAGTCAGAAACCTCGGGGGTACCGGTAGTCCCCCTGGCATCAGAAACCTGAGGGCGAAAACTGCATCGCCGGCCGGAAATGGACAGCCAGCACCATGGGTCAAGTTTCACTTGACTGAGGATGGGATACAAGCGGCGCGGCCACTACGGCTGCTGTTATTGGTGCAACAGCACCAAGCACAAGACCTCCCAATGCCCGGATCAAGGCAAGGAGGATGTTCGGCCTCGTATCAACTCGGGAAACTGAGTTCCGCAAGAGGTGAGGCGACTCCACCTCTCACTCCGCCAGATTCGGCCGCCTTGCTAGCGGCCTCCTGCACATCTGGGGAGGATGCGAATGTTGCAAGCCCTCGGTACTGCGAGGGCGAAACTGTCTGTCTGAGGGAGGGACCACAGTCCGTGTGAGAGGGGTAGGTCATGAAGGTCCCTGAGCTAACCTTTGTCGCTCGTAGTGAGCGTAGATCAGCGGTGCGGATGCTTTCAAATCTGTGTCTGAAATCCTCCGAGTGTCGTCGGGATCGCATGCTTTGAATGTGACTTTGTACTGTCGAGGCTTGCTGCCGTACTTGCGATCTGTGATGACGCGGTCAACTTCCTGGTGACCATCCGTAGATGGAGGGTCCTGCGATCATCGGCCCGGAAAGTCGTCGCTCTTAGCTGGTGTATATGTTGCCAGCTTCGAGGCGTGAAAGACTGGATGAACCATCAGATGCGGGGAGATGTTGATCACAAATGAAGGGTCATCGGGCTCATCGGCCGCGGCTGATGTTACGGGCCATGGTCCAAACCACTTGGGAAGCAGTTTGCGTGAAACATCCTGTTCCAGTGCAAACTCTTCCGCGGAGACCCAAACCAGATCACCGACGCGGACGGGACATGGCACGCGACGCTTGTTGGCTTGCCGCTGAATGCGGACTTGAGACTTTTGCATATTCGCGCAGGCTTGAGCCAGCAATTCCCTGTACTTCCGGACGGAAGCGGAAGAGCAAGCGACATCGATGTTGGCTGGTCGTGGGAGGAGAAGGTCAGCGAAGATACGACCTTTCCGTCCAACGTGGTGCAACTGAAATGGAGTCACGCCGATCGCCGGGTGCACTGAAGTGTTGTAGGCGAACTCGATGTCGGGGAGGCGGTCAACCCAATCTTTCTGGTCCGGACGAATGAGCGTACGAAGCATCATTTGAGCGGTTTGATGTGCCCGCTCCATTTGCCCGTCCGTCTATGGATGCCGAGCCGAACTTGGTTTCATTGTTGTGCCGGATTCCTGCATAAGAGCAGTCCAAAATGCCAACATGAAGCGAGTGTCGCGGTCGCTGACTATGTCTTTCGGTACATCGTGGCCGCAAATCCAACCGGTGTGCAAGAGGCGTGCCAACTCGGGAGTCGTGGAGTAGTACTTGCAAGGGAGAAAACGCGCATACTTACTCAAACGGTCCACAACCGTGAGGATGTCGTCGTGCCCGAGGCGATCGTGGGAAAATGGTCCGGTGACATCCATGGCAATGGAGAGGTCGGGTTCCTGTGGGATAGGCATCGGGCGCAACTCACCGTAGGGGTTGCAATTGCGGGCCTTGCTTCGTCGGCAAACTTCGCAAGAGTCGCAATACCGAGTGACATCGGTAATGAGGTCAGGCCATCGGAATCGTTGTTGAAGCCGTGCAATGGTGCGGTTGATTCCGAAATGGCCGGTGAGTCGCGAATCATGATACTCACCGAGAAGGCGAGTCCGAAGACGACGGTCTTGTGGGACACATAGTAAGTCCTTGCCTCTCGAGTGGAGGAGCAAATACCCGTCGGCAATGCGATAGTGGCTGACCGGCGGGTGATCCGAAGATAGTTGCGCGTACAACGTGGCGAAATCCGGATCAGACTCATAGCCCCGGATGAAGTGTTGCTGGAGTTCCTCGTCGAATGCGAAGGCATGATGTGTCATGGTGCAAAGATCGGGTTTTCGCGAGAGTGCATCTATTGCGCGAGTCGAGAGGTCGGGGAAATGTTTCGGTGTGAAGTCAAATTGGTCGATGAAGTACATCCATCGTCCGATCGTGCTGCTCACCATGTCCTGCGTCTTGTAGTAGGTCAATGGGTTGTTGTCCGTGACCCATGTGAACCTACCACGCCCAAGGCGGAAGTGCCGCCATCGCTTGAGAGCCATCACGAATGCGAGCATCTCCTTCTTCCTTGCATCATCAAGCGAATTGATGGGAGGCACTTTGTGGCTGAAATACTCCACAGGGTGCCAGTCGTCGCCGTCGTGTTGTTCCAAGACTGCCCCAATGCCATAGCCGGAAGCGTCAGTTGTCACTCTCGTAGGCAGGGTGGGGTCATAGATGCTAAGGACGGGTGCCATGAGCATGGCCGTCTTAAGTGCTTGGAATGACCGGCATGCGTCGTCATTGAATACGAATGGCACCTTTGGCGATTGTAATATCGTCATAAGTGCAACAATCCTTGAGTACCCGGTGATAAATCGCTAATAGTAGCCCGCCAACCCTATGAATGAACGAACGTCCGTGGTGTTGGTGGGCACGGGCCATACGCGGAGGGCCTCGATCTTGTCCGCAAGCGGACGAATGCCTTGCGGCGTCACATAATGTCCCAAGTACTCCAGCTCCTGCCGCGCGAATTCGCATTTGTCGCGGTTGGCTTTGTACTTGGCTTGTCGTAGCCGCTCCAAAACGGTGCGCAGGTGTTCCACATGCTCGTCCAAACTCCGGCTGTACACCAGGATGTCGTCGAGGTAGATAAGTACGAATCGATCCAGCATGTATCGGAACTCCGTTGTCATAGCTGCTTGGAAAGTGGTCGGGGCATTCGTAAGGCCAAATGGCATAACCAGCCATTCGAAATGCCCATATCGTGTCTTAAACGCGGTTTTATAGCGGTCGATGCTGTCCACTTGGTCCCACCATTGGACCAACCGCTCCACGTGCAATAATCTACCGCATGCACAATTTCATCACCATCGGCAACCGATTCGGCAGCTTCGCTGCCATCTACCGCCGGGGATTCAACGTCATGGTCAAGACTTGAAGAGCTCGACCCGTTGACATTTGCGGACTTCCAATGGATGCCCCTTTCCCGGTCCGGCCGATTGCCGAAACCGCATTGCAACGTGTTCATGGCACAATTGCGGGATTACTTGCACACTGCAGTACCAACTCCGTTGATGGACGCCGGAGTAGAGGTTGTCGACCTTCACGCCTACATTGCGAAGATCGACCGCGAGTTCAAGACACAACGGTACGACGACATCGACGCACCATTGTTATATGTACGCATTCAGATCGGAGAGGCGACCTGCAGCGTTTTGATCGATTGCAGAGCATCTCGCAACTACATGAGCCAGGACTTGATGGTACGCGCCGACCTTGGCCCACGTGTCCGGAGGAAGTCCCAGCCTACGCAAGTCACGTTGGCAGACGGTCACACGCACAAGTCAATCGACCGGTGCATAGATGACGTCCTCGTGTACTTTGCCCCGCATGCAAGCGAGGCGGTGTCCTTCGATATTTTGGACACCAAATTCGACATGATCTTGGGCATGTCATGGCTGTGAAGCGAGGATCACCCGGTGAACTTCTACCGCCGCACTGTTCACGTCCGTGATCGGAACGGAGTACTAGTCCCATGCACGGTGCCTCCTCCTCACCCTTCAATCAGCTGCCACGTGGTGTCCGCCGCAAGCTTGCGAGCTTCCATCATCAGAGACGGCATCAAGGAGATGGGGGTGTGTTTTCTCCACGCCCTCCCGCCCCATGACGCTTCATCGACGGACTCATCTTCGGACCCACGGATCACCGAGCTTCTCGACGCCTACGGCGACGTGTTCGAAGGCCCGCACGGAGTAGTACCGGATCGGCCCATCCGCCACGAGATCATCCTCGAGGACGGGGCTGTACCTCCGCATGGTTGCATCTACCGAATGTGCGAGGAAGAGTTAAGTGTGCTAGGGGCACAACTCGACGCCCTTCTTGAGAAAGGTTGGATTCGGCCTAGCTCATCGCCATACGGTGTTCCCGTTCTCTTCGTCCGGAAGAAAACAAGGATTTGCGGTTGTGCATCGCAAACGATCAGAAACGTCAGCCCTCTTCCACGCATCGACGACCTCCTCGAACGACTGGGCGACGCCAAGTTCTTCTCCAAGCTTGACCTCAAGTCGGGATATCACCAACTCGAGATTCGGCAGGCTTCGCGGCTGGACAACAACCACCTGATCTCCCACACGTGACGCTTGGGTGGCTGTCGGGTCTTCCACAATATTGTCCGATTGGACTGTAGCGACATGCTGAGGCCGCGAACCAGTTTTCACCTTCTCCACATAGGTTGGCTGCCATGCTGATTTCTCATGTGAAGCGGCCCTATTGGTCTTGATGATCTCCCTTGCCTTGTCAATGATTTTGGCGAAAGGTCGTGTATTGCTCGCGATCACCAAGTGCAAGGCTCAAGGCGGCACATGACCGGTTGTAGAACTCGCGGCACAGATGCGAAAATGGCAAGTCAAGATTGGGCGTCGCCGCGATCTTCTGCCATTCCGTGAGCCAGTCACGTGTCGATGTGTTGCCTTGCATCATGCTGAAGAGGCGGTTCATGGCGAGCGCCGGGGCGTCGTCCACGATGAACCGCTTCTTCCACAGTCGTGTTAACTCTTCCCAAGGAATCTTGTCTTTCAGATCTGCGACGTCGATGCCATGAACGGTTGCCAGGTGGCTCAACCAGATCTGGCATCCGGCCTTTGAGTTGAGGAACAGGGCTCCTATGTACGCGTGCTTGGCGCCGAACAAAATCCGAAGTTGCGTTGTAAATCCCTCCCACCAGAGGACCGGGTCTTGATGCGTATAATCATCGAACTTCTCGATTTGGAATGTCGGCATCTTGTAGTGCTGCACGACGTTGCTATCCTTGTTAGGCAGTTGATGCAGTTGCTGAACCTCGGTCTTCAAGGTGTCCAGCTGATTGCTGATGGTGGCTGGTGCAGCGAAGGTACTAATGTCGCCGAGCATTGCGACTACGTGATCAACTCGTTCCTCCAGTTGGCGGGCAGAGGGTGCACTGCTAGACTCGCCAGCCTCCGGTCTTGGTGCAGTTTGCTCCAAGTCCTGTACACGGGAATCAAGTGTCCGTGCTGCATCCTCGTGCCGAGTCTTGTGGTTCCGTACGGCCCGCTGGAGGTTTGCCAACTCGGACTGCAGGTGGTTACAAGTGTAAACCAACCTGGACACGAGTTTGGCCATGAATTCCTTGTGCTGCTCCTCCGGTGTCACGTCGTCGTGCTCCTCGGATGGTTCAAAGTGCCAAAACTTGAGCTTTTCGATGCTAGTGGCTTCATGCCGCTGTAGCAGATCCTGGGCTTCCTTGCGGCATGGCTGGGTATCTGCGTCTGCTTCAGCCTAAAGCCGCTGCTTCTCAGCTGTTGCCGCCACTTCAGCCTGTAGGCGGACAGCCTCGGCTGCCAGCTGGCGCTGTTCCTCAGCCGCGATTAGTGCGAGCTGAGTTTCAAAACGCTGTCGGTACTCGGCAATGGACTCGTTTGCCAGTTGGCCTGGCATGCCCAGAACTGAGCTCGTCATGGTGGCGGGGCACTGCTGACGTGGCACTGTGGCACTGTGGCACTGTTGACGTGGCACTGTTGCTTACGTCGCCTGCTTACATGGCACTGTTGCTGACGTGGCACTGCTTACGTGGCACTGCTGACATGGCACTGTTGCTGACGTGGCACTGCTGACGTGGCACTGCTGATGTGGCACTGCTGATGTGGCACTGTGACTGACGTGGCACTGTTGCTGACGTGGCACTGCTGACGTGGCACTTGTACCAACTCGGAAATGCATGCAAAGGGGTGGGTGGGAGGGAAAACGCAGGTAGGGAACCAACCCAACAATACTTTCCTCCCGGCCCTAATCAACAGAGAAAAAAAT